AGGAAGCACAACGACGACGACGATGCTCGCTTTTTTTTCCCCGCAAACAAACGAAAAGGTGTGAGCGAGCGCTCCAGAGACCGGCCTGCCATTAGCTGTTAGCATGCCAACAATTTAGAGTGGCGGCGTCCTCCATGTTTGTAGTCCCGACGACGACGACGCTCTCTGTCTTCCTGAAAGCATTCCCCAAACCAAAACTCCTCCTGGTCCGGTCGCCGTGACGTGATGTTCGCCATCGATCCGACCCTCCACTTACATCCTCGTGCTCCGCCCCTTCCAAGTCAGTATTCATTTGTATTAGTGGGAGGAGTCACAAGAAGGACTTTGACTTTGTTGTTGTCGTTGTTGTTGTTCTGATCGCCATGGAGACGAGAATGTGTAATTATTGTAAATAACCATAAAAAGATGACCTGCATGTTTATCTAGAAAATTCCAGACAAAGTTGACGGCGTGCCGGATTGTCCGGTCCTCTTTAGCTGCCAGGCCGCCACCTTGGCGTCCCGGGGGAGGGGCGGGGGGAGTGGGGATGTGTCCTCCTTAGCCGTCTTCTTGGCGTCCCAAACCACCCAGTGGCTCCTCGGCCCAAAGTGCTTCCTCCGTTTTGGCGACTTTGTCTGTCGAATTCTCGGCGCAAGTTCCGCCAAAGAAGGACAACCGTTTGGCCCGGGGCCTCACCCGCGCTAGTTATCCGCCTTGTCGGGCCTCCTCGCCCCGGGGCCCCTCCCCATCCGCCCTTTCGGCCCCCCGCAGGCAGGCCGACCTGGACAAAGTGCAATATTATTTTGGCGGCGTCAAGGCTCGGTACTAAAGAGGACAGACAGCGGGACTTCCGCTCCGCTAGCCAAACTTTGACGGGAAATGCAACTTGTGTGTTTCTTTTAGTGTGTGTTTGTGTGTGCGTAGTGTAACGTAAAAGCCATCTGTCCCGCCCTCCCAAAACACTTAAGACCCCCGTCCCTCGATTGGCAACAGCTCCCCCGCCCTGCCCCCTCCCTCCCTCCCTCGTGCTGCTGTTGGCTGTTTTGTTTCCGTTGGTGTGACGTGCCAGTATAACCCCCCTGCCCCAGCCACCCAACTCCCCGACCAGTCGCTCTCTCGCCCCCCCCTCCCCCGTCCAGCCTCCCTCCATGGATCTTTAAGATGACAACTCTATGCAGATGCGTCTTTTCTAAATGTGTCCAACATTTTAAGTTCCAACAAACAAACAAAAAAAAAATATATTAAACCCTGACAGAAATATTGAAACATGAAGAAATAAAGAAGGATTGTTCAGTGTTCATACGTCTACTTCCTGTTTCCCTCCTTGTATGTAAATGGACAGACAAACTTATGTGATGGAAATGAAAGGTCAGATGGATGTTTACATCATAGCGTGCAAATAGACAGACCATGATGATAAGTTGAGTGTGACTGGACAAATGGACGTGCGAATGAACAATGTAAACCTGACAAATACTTGAATCTCAGCCAGATGTGTAAATGTGTGTGGATGAGTGACGCGGACCCACAAGGTTGACGGTTGCTGAGTGAGACGAAATGTATGAGTGGCGGATATCTAGCGGGAAATTAGCAGCCAGACATGAACACAATGGCAAAACACATTTTAGATGTACAAGTAAAATGTACAGTGTAAAAAATATACACATCCGACTCATGAAATGACAGCGAGCCCAAGTTGGCGTGACTTGGTTGCCTGAGGAAGCTACTAGCTACAGTCCACATCAATGTTTTTCATCCAAAAACAGGAGAACTTGTCTGGCGTTCAACCTTCACCGTTTAGAGCAGTGATCTCCAACCATTTTTGTGTCACGGACCGGTTAAGACAAGTATGTGTTGTTTGTGGACCGGCAAACATTTCTTTTTCTGTTGCTTTTAAATTGTCAGTTTTAAAGCACTGGTACTGGTACTGACAACAACGATAATTAGAGAGTCATTCAACATTTTATTAATGTTCATTCATTTCAAATAGTGTTATTCTACTGCACCTCAAATGTAGAATAAAATAAAATAACACGGCGAACTATTAAAAAAATTACCAATCAGGAATAATAATTAGGCCTTATAATGTGAACATAATCATTTTAAAGGTATGATCCTACGGCGTTAGCATCATTGCTTCTTGTAAAAGATGACACGATTGATTGCTACTTTCATCCGGTGGCTGCCGGCTCGTTATTAGTGACTAAACTACAACTGTTTACGTGGGCAGACTGTGCAAAGTCTGCTTGGATTTTCATACTTTCCACATGAGTGCTATTTGTTCAAATGATTCAACGGGTTTCTCGTATTGTCTTGTTTATGATGACATAGCAAGCGCAACAGCTTCCTCCTTTACGTCGGAGTGGAGATACCGCCAGGGGAGGAACTTCTCTTGTCGAAACAGCGTCATCTTCGGAAGTCATGGCTGCCCATTTCTTACTTTTACTTTCCAGGGGAGGAACTTCTCTTGTCAAAACAACGTAATCTTCGGAAGTCATGGCTGCCCATTTGTTACTTTTACTTTCTGTTTTAATGCTTCTTCTTTCATTTATTGGCGGATTCTGTGTATTTCAACTTTCCAAACAAAGTTAAATAGAGGTCTCCAATTGGCCCGACGCGCACACATTTCCCCACATCACTTCTGATCGTAATTTTGCTCACAGGTCTGTCTCTATGCGGTCCGGTCCGCAGACTGCTGGTTGGAGACCACTGATTTAGACGGTCAGCCTTAAGTCTAAAAACAACCCTTGAGTTTAGACTAGCCTCGCCAGCCGGCAAACTTACTCTCTCCGCTGTTCGGCTGCGTAGTAGAACCGGCGTGCTCTCCTAGAATCCTTTCCAGGGAGCATGTGCTCGCTCACGCTTGATCTGTCTAAATGGGCGGTTCCATGACGTAGGTGACTCAATGGACAGGCCATGTTTACTTGAGCAAAGTGAACGGAGACGGATGCCTGTCGAAATGTGCATTGGTGGACAGACCCAAATGAGTGTGGGTGAATGAATTGAGACATGATGGACGTTCAAATGGACCATGTTTATATACAGCGTGTACAAATTTTGTAGTACTGTGAGGGAAAATGAAATACATACGTGGACAGGTGGTGTCTGAATGTGTGCGGATGGACAGACAGGTTATAATGATCCCTGTGAATGGACAAGCCGATGTTTGCATGTGTGAATTGACAGGTCAAAAGTTTTGTGACTTACTTTCTTGTTGGATAGCAATGACAAAAGCAAAGCATGTTTGTGGAAGTCTTTTAATGCGTGTAAATGAAGTTTGCAGTAGAGTTAGATGTCAAAACACGAGATACAAAATACAAAGTGACATGCGTAGACTCATCATACAAGTGTAAAAAGAAGCACAGTCAATATTAAAACAATAACGTTAAGGACGCGTGTTCCCGGGAGGCCCCTTCTCCCGCACATCTTTCATTTTGAAATTCCACTTACCATTGGCTACCTTCCTCTTTGAATGACAGGTGACATCAAGAGTCGCCAGGACGCCGGTGGTAACGCCCGGGCTCGCATCAAGTCCCGCGAGTGAAGTGACGACGCGCACTTGTCATCAGTTTTATTTTCAGTCCTCAGCGGTTTCAAGTTAACAAATTATCAAAAGACGTTAGAAAAGTCACGTGACTTCAAACTAAGCATACAAACAGTCAAACGCGCTTGCTAACATCATGACGCTAACTACCACCTCAGCGTCCAGTCAATAAATACAGCAAAAGCTACGCTAGGAGATACAAAGGTCCCTTTAGCACGTGGGGGCCAGGAGGGTTATGGGTCATCACAGCTCTAAAGACATCTACACACTAGCGCCGCAGCTGCTACTACACACATGAACACGTGTACACATACGTGTCGTTAACACGCTAACTATTCTACACAATCAGAAGGCGGAGCTTCCCGACAGACGTCAACTGCCCGCTCTCACGTCGGCCGATCCCGTTTGTGTTGGACGACAATGTCCAGCGTCCAATCGTAGAGGCTACCAGTGTTTGTGGGCGGGGTGTATGCAAAGTCAAAATCTCGCCCACTCCAAGGCCATGCCCCAACTGCCTTGCCCTAGCTGCGTCCATCTGTCACTCAAATCTCATCAAGTGGGCGTGTCCAGTGAGGCGGCAGCGGGCCACAGCACGTTGGTGGGCGTTTATGCGTCCAGTTTGTCTCTGCCGAATTAGGCCCCAATAGCGAACTCAGTTCAAATGAAGGTGCCGCCCGACATGCCCCCAAAGTTGGGCGGTGGGCCAGCAGCCCTGCGGGACGGCGCCGCAGAGTTGCTGGGCCAGTGGACCTTCATGTGGTGCCTGAGGTTGGACTTAGAGGAGAAGCGTTTATCGCACTGCGAGCACGTGAAGGGTTTTTCCTTGGTGTGCATGCGGCGATGGCAGATGAGCTGGGTGGACACCCGAAAGGATTTGCCACAGTCCGGGCACTGGTAGCGTTTGGGCTCAGTGTGGATGCGTCGGTGGTTCTTAAGGGACATCAGGTTGGGGAACTGCTTGTGGCACGAGTTGCAGAAGAAGCTTCCGGTCTTGTGGCTGTTCTTGTGGTTGACCAGCGAGCTGGCGTGGCGGTAGGAGCGGCCACATTGGTCGCACACGTGGGCCTTGGGCGCCGCCTGCCGTCCGCGGGCCCGCGCCGCACCGTCCATGCCCTGCTCTTGCATCAAAGTGAGGTCCAAGCCCGAGCCCCAGCCTGGCCGGTGGCGATGGGGTGGGGGCCTCTGGGGTGCCTGGCCATGGCTGATCTCCATGTGCAGTCGGAAGCTGGCCTGAGTGGGGAAGGCGCGGCGGCACGAGGCGCAGGTCAGCTCCCGCTGCTTCTGGTGGACCCGCCGGTGGTTGTAGAGCTGCGAGGCCACTCGGAAGCTCTTGCCACAGTCGTGGCAGCGGTGCCGCCGCATCTCAGAGTGGATGCGGCGGTGGTTTTTGAGGGCCAGAAGATTGGAGTAGGTTTTGAGACACACGGCGCAGTGGTAGATGCCGAGGGTGTGCGTGTTCTTGTGGTTGATGAGGGAACTGGCGTGTCGGTAGGAGCGTCCACATTGGTCACACCTGCGCACAGACGCAACGTTAGATGCCGGGCGGAAGCCTCCGGAAGCGCGCATCACATCAAACCTACAGCACTGCACGGATATTATGTTGGCGTTACAGTATATGATCTGCAATCCGGCTTAGCCAAAAAGAGGTTGTAGTGGCCGAAGCAGGGGCCGGACAAGGGGGACCGGCCTAATGGCGAGTTCCCCCTCCTCCGTCCCTGCGCCCCCTTCCTAATCTTGTCTACAGGTGGGCCGGTTTCTTTCCCGCACGCACACAAGGACACACAACATCAGCAGCACAAAGACAAAAGTGGATGCTAACTGAAAGCAAACGGGGGTGACTTAACTGGTCTCTCCACTAATTCAATTTGTCCAAACTTCAGAAAAATCCGAATTCCGGCACGCGAATGGTCCCAAGGAAGCCGGATTGGAGATCATATACCTGGAATAGACATGTGCAGAGCTAAATTCATCTTCACTATTTGGACAAGTTCCAAGCATGACAAACAAGTGAGGACAACTCACGTGTAGCGACACTCGTCGCCCTCTGCCGTGGCGCCGCCCGTCTTCCTCCTGACATCCATGCCTACCTGGTTGTCGCCGCAGCGGTGTCGGGCCAGGCCCGACCTGCCCTGGAAGCTCTTGCCGCAGGTGGGGCAGCCAAACGGGGTGGCGCCTTCCTCGTGGACCTTCTGGTGGTTGCGCAGAAAGCGGGCCAGCCGGAAAGCTTTCCCGCACGTGTGGCAGATGTGTTTCTTGCGTTGCGTGTGGATGCGCATGTGGTTGCGCAGTGCCATGTAGTTGGTGTAGGGCTTGTCGCAGAAGTTGCAGCGGAAGTCGCCCGTCTTGTGCGTGTGCTTGTGGTTGAGCAGAGAGCTGGCGTGCTTGTAGGCGCAGCTGCACAGGTCGCACGCATAAGGCCTTTCGTCGGAGTCGAGGTCCACGGAGCTCCTCTCCATGCTGACGTTGGCCGAGCTGCCGGCCGACGACGAGGACGGCAGGTGCTGGGCGGGGCAGTCGTGCGCGGCCAGCTGCTCCGCCGACGAGAAGCCCTCGCAGCAGCCATCGCACTCAAAGTCCATTTGGGCGCCGGGACCCTGCGGGCCCTTGCACAGGCCTGCCGTGGTGTGCGTGGCCAGCTGCCTTTGGGTACGGAAACCCTTGCCGCATTCCTGGCAGTTGTGCTTCTTCTGGGCAAAGTGGAGGCGTAGGTGGTTCTTCATGGCCAGCCTATTGGGGTACGTGGAGTTGCACACGTTGCAATGGTACTCGCCGATCTTGTGGAGGTTCTTGTGGTTGGCCAAGCTGCCCGCGTGCCGGTACGTCTTGCCGCACTCCTCGCAGGCGAAAGGTCGCCGCCCGCTCTCGGCCGGGTCAAACTTTTGGGGCCTGGACGTTCCAGCCGAAGAGTAGGGCTTTTTGAAACCCTGTTGAGCGTATTTGACACCCATGATGGGGCCCTTTGACGACTCCCCTCGCATGCTCGCCATCTGAGATGGGCCGGGCTGCTGGTAGCGTGAGCCGTTGGGACCGGTCCGGACCAGACCTTTGGCCCGGTGTTCCTCATGGAGACGGAGGTGGTTAATCAGCTGTTTTTGGATCTTGAAGGCCTTTCCGCATTCTTCGCACTTGTGCCTGCAGTTGGAAAAGACACGCATCAATTTTGCATATATATTCATCACATGAGCACAATTTAGCCATTTTTTGCCTAAAATAAAAACAAGAGAGACATGATGTCGGCTACTAGGCAGAAAATCAGTCGAGGATGCAGTTGATACAAGCCCAACAAGTCAACGTTTTTTCTACTGTAAATTAAAAGAGTAGGGATAGGCCATGGGTCAGCAACCCAAAATGTTGAAAGAGCCATATAGGACAAAAAAAAAACAAAAAAAAAAACCTAATATGTCTGGAGCCGCAAAAAAATAAAAGCCTTCTATAAAACTTACAATGAAGGAAACACATGCTGTATGTATGTAGGAGACTGGACTGTCTCAGAATTGTTTGTTATTCATTCCTTCGTTGTGTGTTCACAAACGCCCCCATAGAATTTATTTTGTAATTTCCTCGCTTGATTTTTTTGTTTTGGTGCATTATGTTCGCTTTTCTTAATGTCAGTGAAGTGATCATTTACGGTTTTCTGAGGCTGTCTTTGAACGCCTCTCGAGAAGAGAGAAGGCACGGAGTCGGACGCAGACGTGTCTGTGTTTGTCGAGACTGTTAAAAGCATGAATAAAGTGTACGTTTTAAAAAACCAACACCACAGCTCTCCTATTTCAGAGCTGCAACATGTATCTATATCTATATGAGCTATATTAGCCTACTATCAAAATCTTTTTCCATTTTCAAACATTTTTTATAAAGCTCCAGGGAGCCACTAGATGTCGCTAAAGAGCCGCATGCGGCTCTGGAGCCGCGTGTTGCCGACCCCCGGGATAGACCAATACAGGTACCAGGAATCAGTATTGGGCTGCCGATACCAGCCACCGATCCATTAACTAAAATTATCTAACACAGCGCAAGTCCTCCTCCAACATGAGTTGGCACTACACTCTGGCGGTTTGACACACTGCCAAATCATCATGCACAGAGGGCGGCCATGGCTCAGAAGTACAGCAGGTCGTCCGGTAACCACGGGGTCTGCTGTTCAAATCAAGCTCTCTCTGAATCATGTGCCGCCGTGTCCTTGGGCAAGACACTTCACCCACCTTGCCTCCAGTACCACTCACACTGGTGTACGGCCGGGTGTGAATGATTGGTGGTGGTCGGAAAGGCCGCAGCCATGCTTTTGTCAGCCTGCCCCAGGGCAGGTATGGCTACATGCAAAGCTTACCGCCACTATAGTGTGAATGTGTGCGTAAATGAATAATGTGTCCGTTGTGAGCGCTTTAGGTGTCCAGTGTCCAGAAAAGTGGGATATACTGTAAATCTGATGCATATTGTCAGACAGTTTAAAAAAAAGGGAACCTTGCTCACAATTATCTGTCATTGTGTTGACATTTTATGTATCAAAATACTATTAGGTGGAAAAGTGAAAGCGGTGGTCATACCTCTTGAGGTCAAAGTGAGTCCTCTGGTGATT